AGCACAATTAAAACTTCATATCATGAAAATACACGCCGGAGAAACCACGCAAAGCTAGTATATCGAAAAAAATTGTGTATAGATAATTTCAAGACCTATACAATATTGCTGTCTCACGCGTTTACGTCTAGAACACAGTATCTTTTAATTCTTCAAATAGTTTATTACTAATAATAAGAAATATTCCACCCATGTTCCTTCAAACGAAGAAAAAAGTTTTCTTTCCTTCTTGGCAAAACGATCCTTACGTTGCTTTCAAAACACTTTCCCCTCGTAATCAAATAGTGGTTTCGAGAAATTCGAGGCATGTAAAGGAATTTCTAGAGCAATAGCTCTTTGTCCCAGAGTCAATACCCCGCATCGCCAATGGTAGGAGACTGCATTCTTCCTCCCAACCCTCTGCCCTGTCCCTCTCTTCCTCTCAGCCCCCAGAAGCGGGCACCGCGTAGAAAGACATGGTCGAGGGGGGGAAAGAAAGACTGATGAGAGAGAACGAGAGCGCGAGAATGCGCGGAGAGGTTGTTGGGCGAGCAGGCGAAAGTGGACGAAAGCATTGTGGGTGCAGCTGGGCGAATGAACGAGACGGCAAACGATTTGCGAAGAAAGCGAGTAGACGAGTCGATATATGAAAGGGAGAATTGGGACGGGAGAGAGGAGACAGGGATGGAGGCAGGCCGAAGGGTGAGTGAGAGAGAGAGAGAAAATGGAGAGAACAAGGGAAGGCGAGATAAGCCAAGTGAGTCGAAATGAGAATTGGCGATGATCGTGAGGGTGGATGGGAGTAGGAGAGAAACAGGAGGCAACCGAGCTAGCAGTCTGACGGGAGAAAGACGGGCAGCCGGAAAAAGAAATACGCGGAGAGGCAGATCGGTGGACAGAATGAAAGGGTGAGTGCGCAGACAAGAAAGAGGGCGCAAACGAAAACGGGAGGGTTAAACAACTGGGGAGGGGAGTAAGAAACAGGCCTACGGACGAGCGAATGGTCGGGCAGGCGGTGACGGGGGCGGGCGAATGGTTGGGCGGGCGAATAGTCGGGAGGACGAATGGTCGGGCGGGCGA